CTAGAAGAAAATATGGATCTTCTATACTCTGAGAGTGGGGACATTTCTTTCCAACCATGACTGAAAATCCAGAAGCAATAAGAATAAAAGAAACTGATAATTTTAAAAACAAAAGAAAACAATTTTTACCTAATGTAATTTTATTTTAAAAAGAAATACCTAAAGTTAAAGAAAAATTACAAACTTGGACAAATAGTTGCAACTTTATCTCAAGGAATTAATATGTTAAATTAATAAAAAGCCTTTAAAATTAGAGAAATGACCAACAACTTTTTACAACAATTGGCTAGATTATAGACTGTTTACAGAAAAAGAAATACAATGGCTTTTTTAAAGGGAGATGTTCAACCGCCCCTAAAATAAGAAAAATAAAAATACACTTGTAGCATTTTTTTCATATCTGATTAAAGACAGTCCAAGTTTGACACAATACACTTGGGTGGTGAGGTGGTAGGGAAATGAACACTCTCATCTTTTGTTTCTGGAAAAGCAACGTGGAGCAAACCTGTTAAAGAGGAATCTGCCAATAATTAGCAAAAATACATATGAATTTACTCTTTAACAAAGCAGCCCCACTTCTCAGAATCTATCACCAAAATACCCAGACAAAAATTGAAAAGCACATATTTGCACAAGGCTGTTCATTACATTACATTATTTAGACTGTTTGTTAGACATGATAGTTTTTCTTACAATGTTATCTGCATACCATGGATTAAAGTGAATGAATAATCATAATGGTATCATTAGGAATGAGGATTTTTCTCAGGAAAAGGGGAGGTAGAGGTGTATCAGTGCCAAGGTTAGGAAATACCCACTAGTCCTGGGTTTGAATTGGAAGTAGCAGTAGGAATTCATGAGGAATTTTATCTTAAAAAAGAAAATTCCTACTCTAGCCTTGGCCTGTGTGGCTCAGTTGGTTGGGTGTCATCCTGTGTACCATTTGCTGGTTCAATTCCTGGTCAGGGCACATGTGTGGGTTGCGGGGCTCAATCCTTGGTAGAGGGCGTGCAGGAAGCAGCCAATTGATGTTGCGCTCTCACACTGATGTTCCTCTCTTTTTCCCTCTCTCTTTCTCTCTCTAAAATTCAATAAAAACACGTTTAAAACAATCCTACTCTAAACATGCTGAAAGGCCTAAATCAAGTAACTAGCAGTGAGCATCAGTTGATTGTTACTTAAATGATATGCACATAAACCACAGAAGTGTCTGCCATATAATATAGTGATGTGTGCTCTGAAAAGGAAAGATGCAAATTCAAGTAAATTTGGGAAATTCTGAGTTTTCTTCTTGGAAATTATACTTTTTTTTTTATAAAAGTAAATGCTCCAAACAATTCTCTGGTAAAGAAGTCTACAACTATTTAACTGTCAGGAACCCTTCGCAGGAGAATAAGTTGGGGTTGCAAAATTCCTGTTGTGTCTTTACTACACAAATATGCTGTAGGAAACAATTTGGAGATTGGTGCTATGAAAGTGGAAGGCAGTTTGTAGCTAATTATTTCTCATAGAGGGACAAGAGGTCTAAAGAGAGTTCCTGGTACCTTGAACTAAATGACTGTGTAATTTAATACAACTGTTGTTTAGAATCTGCTAGATCAGCCGTGGGCAAACTACGGCCCGCGGGCCGGATCCGGCCCGTTTGAAATGAATAAAACTAAAAAAAAAAAAAGACCGTACCCTTTTATGTAATGATGCTTACTTTGAATTTATATTAGTTCACACAAACACTCCATCCATGCTTTTGTTCCGGCCCTCCGGTCCAGTTTAAGAACCCGTTGTGGCCCTTGAGTCAAAAAGTTTGCCCACCCCTGTGCTAGATACTAAATGCTTTGTTCAGTGTTGGGAATATAAGAAAAGAAATGAAATGTTAGAGCATTAAAATATAGTGCTATTATTAATGTTATAATAAAGATTTGAAATGTTTTGTAAAATCGTTCATTATGATTGAGGGGCTCAGAGTTGGCTATCATTGAATTGTGCCATGGAGAAAAAATTAAATTATGATGGGCAAAAGTAAGGGGGAAGGACATTTCTAGCAAAGTAAGGAGCATGAGCAAAGATTGTTTAACATTGGAGTTTATGATGTATTCAGGAAAAAAATAGCCATACTTGTCTGGAACAACAATAAAAAAAAAAAGTACCTGTCTGGAACTACAATAAAAAAGTGTACCTATTTGGCAATAAAAAATGTAGGGAAAGCCTGGGGTAGGCCAACATAGGGAGAAGGCTTTGGGGCCAGACAAGCCTGAATGATCATCATTGATCTGTCTGTAAATGACGATGGCTCAGCTTTCCCATCTGGATAAAGAGGATAAATAATATTTATCTCACAAAGTGAGGCTAGAAATAATGTATGCAAAGCTTCCAACACAGTGGGGTGGGGGACAGAATGTCAGTTCTTACTGTTACTAGGCAGATGGGGATGGACATTCTCAGTTGTCAGTGGACAGGGCTTGGAGCCAACGGAGAGCCATTGAAGCATTTGGAGCATGGGGATGAAGAGATGAGCTTTGTAGTGGGAAAGAGGACACAGAGGAATGAGTAGAGTAGATGGAGACACGTGGCCTTGCATCCGGATGGGAGATGAGGAGCGCATAGGTAGGGCATTTTTAGTTTGGCCAAAACTGTTCAGTGAATCAGAGGTAGAACTGATAGAACTTGGCTATTCATTAGCTCCATATACATGTATGTGGTTAATGGGGAGTGAGAGTCAGGAAACAATGAAAAATGACACCAGATTTTTTAGCCTAAGTATCTGAGTTCCCAGTAATACCAACAATTGAGACAGTCAACACAAAAGGTGGATGGAGTAGATATAGAGAAGGTAGTGAGCTCCGTGTGGAATTTCATCTGTTTTCCCTTTCGGCCTCTCACCTTTCTAGAGTACGTGAGCTTTAAAGATTTGAATGTGGCAGCCCAGCTCCTAATCCCAGTGATCCCTCGATTCTATGGGACCACCACATTTTGAATAGTGTAGTGGCTGCTTCTAAAGTTCATGTAATAATGACTGGAATGATTAGTGTGATATGCTCCAAAATCAACTACTAAAAACTACCTAATAATGTAGTCACATGTTTCTGTGTGGCTTGCACTGTCCTGGTCCTCAAAACATTGTTTGCTTTAAGTGTAGTTGAAAGTAAAGACAAGTGTAGACATTCTATTCAACACCAATCTTTGTGTGCTTCTTGTTTTAATGTGCAGGACAGGAGAGAATTGGAAAAGATTCCAACTATGAGCAGGAGGGGAAAGTTCAGTTCGTGATTGACGCAGTCTACGCGATGGCTCATGCCCTGCATCACATGAACAAGGATCTTTGTGCTGACTACCGGGGCGTCTGTCCGGAGATGGAGCAAGCTGGGGGCAAGAAGTTGCTGAAGTACATCCGCAACGTTAATTTCAATGGTGAGTCTCCAAGCACCTGTGGTTTTTAGGAATCCTGTGTTGGCATTCTGCTTTATAAGTTACATGTTGAATGATTATTTACTCTTGAGTATGTGTCAAAACATGGTTGATTATCTGATTTTAAAGATTGAGTCAATATATGAATGAGTGAGTAGTGAGAGAGTAGTGAGGGAACGAGTGAATAAATATTTAAGGAGTATTTCCTTAAAATAGGTTTTTATATAAAGTCAAATTCTGCCTCAGTGAATATAAATTCAGAACTGTGAAAAACACGCATATTTATTAGTTATTGTACACTATCTCTATACAGTTATTTTTGTCTCCAGTCTTACAGTATTTACTCAAATACTGTCTTCCTAAAATATTTGCATTCATTTTTTTTTATTTCTTTACTCTCTTCAGTGTGGTTCTGTTTTTAACTTTCAATATAGTCAGGTTTATTCATGATCATATTGAATTTTGTTAACCAATTGATAATTAATTTTATGAGTCAACTTGACTGGGTAAAGTGATGCTTAGCTAGCTGGCAAAACAGTACCGCTGGGTGCCTCTGTGAGGGTGTTTCGGGAAGCGATTAGCATTTGACTTGGTGAACTGAGTAAAGGAGAGAGGGCTCTCCCCAAGGTGGGTGGGTTTCCTCCAACCCCGCCCCCCCCAGGGCCTGAAGAGACCCAGAAGGCAGAAGAAGGGCAAATTCTCTCTCCCTCTGCTCCTGCCCTCAGACATGGGTGCTCCTACTTCTCGGGCTTTGAGACACAGAAGAGGCCTTCAGATACAACCTTAACGTGGGGGAAGGTTACAGCATCACTGCTGAGGTCTTATTGCCAAAAATACATGCCTCAATCTAAGCATAAGAAAACATAGGACAAAATAACTGGCTAATACCCTTCCTAAGTATTCATGTTGTGAGAAAGGCTGGTGGAGGAATTGTTCCAGACTGGAAGACACTAAGGAGACAGTACCATTGAATGCAGTGTGGGAAAAGTAATGGATCCTCTACCGGAAAAAGGACACTAGTGAGACAATGGAGACATTTTAAATAAAACTTGCAGATGAGTTTTAAATAGTATTATATCAATATTAATTTACTGGCACAGGTAATTATATTAATATTAAAGGAAACCTTCTCGCTTTTCTGCTTATAAACAACAATCCACTTAAACCCACAATATTATATCGATCTTCCAGGAGTTTGCTAGTATTTGGATGAAGAGGAACCACAGCCTGTTTGGGGATCAACAGTTCTGTAGTTTAGATGGAGACAAAATGACTGTGTGTAAAACCAGAATAAATGATCTTCATTTTATAATTTCTTCCTGATTTTACAGAATCTCCTAAAATATAGAATTAATTTTCTCAGAGACAGACACATGTAAATTTCATTATTTATTAAACACTACATTCCGTTAGCTGGGTCAGTCTCTGGGCTTTGTATTTTGGTTCATAGATATGGATAACCATTCTTATAAGAGTGACCAGAATTATCGTTTTGAGACTGTTCTTGGTGACTATTCCCTTATTGTTCTTCCAAATAGTGCTCTGTAGAATCATTTTGTCAAAACGGTCTTGTCCGTTGATAAGCCAGAGATGCTGAGCTTCGGATGAGACACAGGACCCATGTTTATGGAATGATTACTGTGTGCCAGAAAGTGTGCTACATACCTGTGTTGGCTTAATTAATATTTAGAACATCAGCACGGTGTAGGCACTATTATTTACCCTTTTTTTAAGATAAGGAAACTTCACAGAGAATTAAGAATCATGATATTCAGAACCACACATCTGGGTAGTGATGACGCTACACTGGTCCTTGGGCACCTAACTCTACAGGCTGTCCCCTGTAAATGTCTGAGAGGAAGGGCTGACTACTTCATTCCTGCTTCTTCATCTCAGAGTGGATGCTCTGTGGGAGGTGCCAGGCAGGATCAATTGTTTTTTCTCTCTCTGTCCTCATTGCAATCCTGCCCTGTGGTCCACATAATCGCCTGTTCTCTGAGGACTTTTTTTCTGTCATAAGGACAACCGGGAGGCCTCTGGCTCCAGGGGCACTGTGACGTTTGTTGATGGTGGGGCTCGGCAGTTTTGTGAAACAGAATCTATGCTGGATTTAATTAATGGATTCCGTATCACTTGAAGTGAACAGCTATTAGTGAAAAGAAATTTGACATTTGTCACTCATTTAATTTCTTGATTTTTTTTTAATTAAATCTTTATTGTTCAGGTTACATTTGTTCCTCTTTTTTTCCCCCCCATAACTCCCCTCCTCCCAGTTCCCGCCCCACCCTCCGCCCTCACTCCCCACCCACTGTCCTCATCCATAGGTGCACGATTTTTGTCCAGTCTCTTCCCGCATCTCCCATTCCCCTTTCCCCCCCAAGAATAGTCAGTCCATTCCCTTTCTATGTCCCTGATTCATTATAATCACCAGTTCATTCTGTACATCAGATTATTTATTCACTTGATTCTTAGATTCACTTGTTGATAGATGCATGTTTGTTGTTCACAATTTGTATCTTTACCTTTTTCTTCTTCCTCCTCTTAAAGGATACCTTTCAGCATTTCATATAATACTGGTTTAGTGGTGATGAACTCCTTTAGCTTTTCCTTATCTGTGAAGCTCTTTATCTGACCTTCAATTCTGAATGATAGCTTTGCTGGATAAAGTAATCTTGGTTGTAGGTTCTTGCTATTCATCACTTTGAATATTTCTTGCCATTCCCTTCTGGCCTGCAAAGTTTCTGTTGAGAAATCAGCTGACAGTCGTATGGGTATTCCCTTGTAGGTAATTGAGTCTCTTTCTCTTGCTGCTTTTAAGATTCTCTCTTTGTCTTTTGCTCTTGGCATTTTAATTATGATGTGTCTTGGTGTGGTCCTCTTTGGATTCCTTTTGTTTGGGGTTCTCTGCGCTTCTTGGACCTGTAAGTCCATTTCTTTCACCAGGTGGGGGAAGTTTTCTGCCATTATTTCTTCAAATAGGTTTTCAATATCTTGCTGTCTCTCATCTTCTGGCACCCCAATTATTCTGATGTTTGTACGCTTGAAGCTGTCCCAGAGGCTCCTTACACTATCTTCATATTTTCGGATTCTTTTTTCATTTTGCTTTTCCGGTTGGGTGTTTTTTGCTTCTTCGCATTTCAAATCTTTGACTTGATTCTTGCGCTCCTCTGGTCTGCTATTGGGTGTCTGTATAATATTCTTTATTTCAGTCCGTGTATGCTTAATTTCTAGTTGGTTCTTTATCATAGCATCGAGGGTCTCATTAGTTTTCGTGACTCTCTCCTCAAGTTTATTGACAGCTTCTAGCACATTTTTGCAAGCCCTCAAAATTGCGATTTTTAGCTCTATATCCTCCATTTCTGTCATGTTTTTTTGTCTCCGCATTTTTTATGCTTTCTTGGTGCACCCCCTAGTGGTCTTTGTGCGCAGTCTTGTTCTAGTTGAGCCTTGATTGTTGTAGTTAATACTAGAGGGATTTGACCACCAGGCCGACTGGCTGTGTGAATCAGCTGTGTCTGCCGCGGAAAACTTCTGTCCTCTGGGGAGGTGCTAATCTAGCCTTTGCCTGAGGCGATCTGGCAAATGGCTCTGCGCAGGGCTTGGGCGGGGCGGGCTCAACAGGGCGGGCGGAGGGAGCGGTTATAGCCCCTCTCAGTCCCGTTCCCAGAGGCTCTGCTTCTCAGAACCCCCGGAACCGCTGCAAACCTCGGAGGGAAAGCTGCCTTCCAACTGATGCCAGACACTCCCGCTTCTCCCGTTTGGGTCCGAGTCCCCAGCGATTCGCCCGTATCTGGAGCTCAGAGTCTGAGACTCCCCCCTGACCGAAAACGACAACCGCGCTCTCAGCCACCAGCCCGCTTTGCGCGCGCACCTCCGCACCTGAGTTTTTTCCACACTGCGCCTCCTCTGAGCCTCGGTGTGCTGTTATTTTTCCTTCTAGTTGAAGAGTCTCTCCTCAGCCAGCCTTCCTGTGGTTCTGGGTGATGTCCGTTCCGTCTTTTAGTTGTATTTTTGAAGTGGTTGTTTGCGGCAGCAGTCTCCGGTGTTTACCTATGCCGCCATCTTGATCCTTAATTTCTTGATTTTTATATAAAGAAATAAAATACTAGAGAGGAGGAAATATTTGTTCAAGACTTCACAGTTAGCAAATGACAGAGACGGATCTAGAAAGCAAGTCTCTTCCTAGTCTATTGTGAAAAATGTAGCCTTTCTTTAGCATGTTTTAGTAGGGTTTTGATTTTTTTGGTCTCAACGAAGCCTAATTGTTCTCTTCTGTTACTTTAATACAAAACTTTCTGCACCCCTAGGAGTTTGATTCCAGATCAATAGGGCACAGTTTAATAACTCTGACCCTCACATTCACCAAAGCATCAATTTAGGAAATGATAATAGATTGTCCAGAAAATATTGCTATAGTTTCACCAAGCACTTAACCTCTTCTTATGATGCACCAAGAGAAAAGATAACTACCTTTAAATTCATCACTTCTGGCCATGTTTTTCTCTGCATCCCAAATGAATGCAATGACCTGAGCCTAAATTTGATTTATGTAGTTATGTCTACGTTGGCCCATCTAACCAATTGTTAATACCTGTAGATGTAAATTTAATAAATTTGTTGTCTTGGATACAACATCTTAGAGAATTGCTATACAATGGCATATTTAATCTGGTGTGGGTCTGTACCTAGATTTACTAGTTTCCAGAAGATGGATTGGGTGTCAGTATATTTTGTAAAGATGATATATATCATGTGCTTTTTTAAAATCCTCACAGGAGGATATGTTTTTATTGATTTTTAGAGAGGGAGGAAGGGTGGGAGACAGAGAGAGAAACATCAGTTGACTGCTTCCTATATGCACCCCAGCTGGCGATGGAACCCACAACCTAGGTGTGTGCCCTGAATCAGAATGAAACCTGCAACCTTAGGCTGTTTGGGATGATGCCCCAACCCACCTGGCCAGGGCTCATGTGCTCTTTTTGAAACGTGAACTTAGCTTTCCT